GTGAAAGGAGATCCTTCACCGTGTATATATGACTCCATACGGAATTTGCTGGGCCTCACGAACTCGTTCACCTTCCGCAGATTCAATATCATCCTGTAAGCACCTGACGGTTTTTTCCTTAGGAAGAAATGGGAGAAGAATCCACTTCCCCTTTCCTCTTCTCTCAACTGGCAGATAAACATTCTGACTGAGCATATCTTGTAGGAGGTCCACCAACGCATCCGCCATGGCCCTGTCCTTTGGCAGGGGTGTTGCAAAGAATCTCTGAGGGGGGGCCCTTGTGAACTCTATTCTGTACCCCCCTGTGGATGGCCTCCAGAATGTAGGTGTTCTGGGTTATCCTTAGCCATTGTGCGTGGAAGCGCCCCAGCCTCGCTCCCACCTGGCCTCTCCAGTCACTTCTGCTGGGTTTTGGGTCTATTCTGGCTGGGGTTGAAAAAGGAAACCTCCCCTGCCTCTCGGCTCGTTCCTGCCTCTTCTCGCGCCCCAGCCTGGGCGCTGGGTTTGGAACCTAGCTTCCCTTGACGTGTATCGCCTGGATGGGCGAAACCCCTTCCGTCCGACCTGCCTGCTGGGGACCGGGAAGCTCTTTTTCCTGTCTGCCGACCTTTCCAGGACTGAATTCAGCTCCGGGGCCGAAAAGGAGTTTTCCTTCAAACGGCAGGCCACAGAGTTTAGACTTGGAGGCCAGATCCCCCTGCCAAGATTTCAGCCAGATAGCCCTCCGCGCCGAGTTTATGAGCGCTGTAGATCTAGCAGAGAGTCTGATGGTCTCTGCTGATGCGTCCGCGATGAAGGCTACCGCTTTCTCCAGCACCGGAAGGGACTTCAGAATCTCCTCCCCCGGGGTGCCTTGTTCCAGATGCGAACGGAGCTGCCCCAACCACACATCCAGGGTTCTGGACACGCAGGTTGTTGCCACTGCAGGCTTAAAATTTACTGCGGATGCTTCCCATGCCCTCTTCAGGAAAGCATCTGCTTTCCGAGATCCATTGGGTCCTTTAGGGACCCACCGTCTTCAAAGGACAGATCCGTGTCCTTCGAGATCCTCGAGAGAGGGGCGTCTGGCTTTGGGCAAGTCTCCCAAACCGAGGCATCTTCCTCCTTAAAGGGGAAACGTCTCTTGAGGTTCTTGGGAAGGAAAGCTTTCCTCTCTGGCTCTTCCCATTCCCTCCTGATCGTGGACCACAGGGCAGGGTGTACTGGGAATGTACGGCTGCTTTTTGCCTGTAGCCCTGCGTACAGTTGGTCGTGGAGAGAGAGGTCCTGTTGTTCCTCCTCCAGATCCAGGGTCTCATAGATCACCTTTAACAGGTCCTCCGTGTGTCTTCCACCTGAAAAAGGAAACTGTCTGCCTTTGGGCCCTGAGCCTCAATCTCACCCTCCTCCGAGTCTGAGGTGTCCGACTGTTCGGCCTCTTCCCAGTCCCTTACCGGCGCTACCTTGTCCAGCTTCCTCTTTTTCCCCCCTTGGGTGCCAGAAGTGCCCGGTTGGGGCTCATCCTGGGCCGGCCCCGGCCCTCTGTTCCCTGAAGCTTTGAAATGTCTTGGACATTTCCTGTGTCATATTTTGTAGGAAATCTTTAAAAAAAGATCCAGACTCTTCTTGATGAGCTTGTCTATGCACCCCTGGCAGAGCTGCTTCCTCCAGGAGCTCGCCAGCTTCTTCCTACAAGTGGCACACTTCTTTTTCTGCTCACAAGGAGCTTCTTTCTCCCCTCTATCCTCCTCCTGTGGGCCCATCTGGGGACAAGGAGATACATGCGTTCATGCGTCTGTAAAAACAACGCCTCCCCCCCTGTGCCACTGTGAAAGCTCCAGCCGTGGGCCTGGGGGGGGAGAGGGGGGCTGTGTGTGCGTGGGGGGCACCCAATCATCCCGGGAGGGGAGGGGAGGAGGGGGGGGGGGGAGGGAGGGAGGGAGGGAGGGGGGGGGGGGGGGAGGAGGGGGGCAAAAACAAAAGAGAGTTGCCAAAGGCCCTTACCTTACTGCAGGCCTCCCCCGCTCCTGACAGATCTGCCTCCATGCTGCCGCAGACTCTGCCTCGGTGCGGCGGTTTTTCAGGGGCTGGTGGGCTCCGCCCCCCCCCTGCGATCCCCCCTCGCCGACCTCCCTCTCACGGCCGCCGGTGGAGAAAGCGGCCGTGGCACGGGTTCCTTCCACGGTCCCGCCGCCCATTTCCAAGATGGCGGCGGCCGTTCCCTGCTGCTCCTGCGCCGGAAGTGACGACACCCGGCGCCCGAAGTGACGCGATCGCAGCGTCCAGACCTCCGCAGCCGAGCCTCCTGGCCATGCTGCCGGGATCCCAGGAGCAGGTAAGACTTACCTGAAACCCCCGCAGGGAAAGGCACCAATGCCTCGGTCGGAGCGGAGCGGGCTCTACCCCCCTGGAGAGCCCCGCTGGGACCATCTGGGGCCGACGCCCCCACCCTACAACGGGCATTCCCCGAGTGGAAACTGGCTGAAAGGTCCCCCCCCTCACAAGGCCCCTGCCTCGCTTGGAGGAGGGGGGGCCTCAGCCAGGGACCCTCTGTACTCCGCCAGAGAGCCCAGATAAAAACAAAAAATGGGCGTAGCTCCTTCCTGGCCGGAGGAAACACTAAAACTGGGGGCAATGGGAGAGAGGACGCCTATAAAAGGGGAAAAAAGGTGGAGCGGGTGTTTCCTGGGAGGAGCCCTATCTCTCAAGTGAGCTGTCCTAGAAGATGACTCGGGAAATTACTTTTTGTATAATCCTACGCATCCTATTCATTTACTTTCTTGAAGTATGTGACCGATCTTGCTTATGCCCTGTAATTAGGCACTGCTGTGTCACGCATTTTACAGAGCCTGCCTTCTGCACTACAGAGTGCTGAAAGGAGGAGTTTCAAGAGGTGGAGTAAGTACAGGAATCGCAGCTTGCAGGCAGCAAGTTACAATGGAATATATAGTTCTACAAAATCAAAAGTATAAAGTAAGAGATGGCCAGCAGACAGGCAGTAATCACAACAGGAAGGAGTTTAAGTTTATATTGCATTGTCAAAAATAACTGTTGCTTGTTTTGCTGTTGGAATGCTAATGTTCTAAATGATAGTCTATGCTGTGACCATAGAACCTCTTTAAAGTGCATGTAAAGTATAAACTTTTTTTTTATTTTTAATTTTAGCAGAGAAGAATTAAAATCCCTATCAGGTTATTTACTGCTGCCTGACTGCAGAGATTTTTTTTTTTTTTTTTTTGTCCTGGAGACGCAACAGGCAGCTCTTACCAAAGTGACCGGAATTCCCATCTTAAGACAGTCATACACAGCCTGATTTTCTTTTGCTCAGTTTGCAGGCTGAGCGAGCAAAAGAATACCAATTGTTTCCCCCATCCATGCTAACATCTGATAAGCTGTATTGACTGCTTGGATTATAACTTTCTACCCAGCTGTTAATTTTTGAATGAACATTTGTTAAGCTGGGTGGTGCTTTCAGGGCCACCCCACAGCTCAAATTTCAACCAATTTAACAGGAACCATGACACTTGAGCAGTCTATGGCCAGCCTTAAAGAGTTGTCACAGGAACCAGTGTCCCTTTTTGGAGTATTTTCCCTCACCTCTTGATCTAAAGACCATGCACAATTTTTGGGATTTCTCCAAGGACAACTAGGAGACTCATCCTATCAAGAACACAGCAATAAAAACTTGAGAAAAAGTGCTCCTTATCCCTACCATCCCTACATCTTACTATTTTTCTTTTAAGCTGCTTGCACACAGGCAGTCATATTTACACTGTGTCTTTCTGCCAGGAGCTAGAAGAAAAATCCAGAGTAAAAAAAAAAAAAAAAGTTTGGTCTGGCATATACTAACGCGTTAATGTAAGGAGTACAGGTAGTTTTGTTTGTTTGGTTTTTTTCTGGGTTCCGCTTGCCTGGCTTGCTTTTAGCTAGAGGGAAGGGAGAAGTGCTCCCCTCCCCCTTGTTCTGACCCGGAAGTGACGTTACGATGTCACTTCCGGGTCCCCATTGAGAGATTGTAATGCAATCCCCAGAAAAGAATGTAATGGTGCGATGTGCACTACATTACAATCAGTGGAGCGGAGGGGAGACATGCAAGGTCTTTTAGAACTTGGATGTTTCAAAGAGAACCTGTCACCAAAAGTTACACCCAAGCACATACCATCCCTCCCAAAAAATATATTGAGGCCCCCACCCTTACATATATGCACGTACAAATGTAAAAGCGCACGCTGGGGTGCCTACGCATGAAACCGTCAATTGCGATACAGGTCACATATCGACATGCACGCCAGAATGAGAGCAATAATTCTAGCATCAGATCTCCTATAACACTAAACTGGTGACCTATGAGGGGCTTTAAAAGTGCCGACCTATAGAAAATATAGGGTACTGAAGTTCGTCGCCATTTGACATGCATGCACAAATTTTAAGGTTTGACAAGTTGGATATCCGTTTACTCGCTGCAACCTCATAGTTTATATTTTACAAAAAAAATAGGGTAATGTATTGCTTTTTTGTGCCCTAAAATTAACTTGCTTGTATTTTTTTACTAAAATGTTGCGGTAAAATAATGCAACATAAAAAACTGGAACTACCACTATTTTATTCTCTAGGGTCTTTGCTTTCAGAAAATGTATTATGTTTGGGGGGTTTATGTCACCTTCAGGCCTAAAATTATGTTTTAACCACTTGCCTACAGGGCACTTATACCCCCTTCCTGCACAGGCCAGTTTTCAGCTTTCAATGCTGTTGCACTTTGAATGACAATTGCACGGTCATGCAACACTGTACCCATATGAAATTTTTATTTTTGTAAGAATGAGCTTTCTTTTGGTGGTATTTAATCACCTCTGGGTTTTTTATTTATTTTTTGCTAAACAAACCAAAAACTGAAAATTTTGAAAACTTTTTTTTCCTAGTTTTTGTTATAAAATTTTGTAAGTAAGTGATTTTTCTCCTTCACTGATGTGTGCTAATGAGGCTGCACTGATGGGCACTGAGGAGGAGGCACTAGTAGGTGGCACTGATGGGCATTGACAGGCATCACTGGGCACTGAAAGTCATCACTCATATATGGCACTGATAGGCGGCACTGACTGGCACTGATAGGTGGCACTGATGGGTGACACTGAAAGGCAGCTCAGATGGGCACTGATGTGGCATTAATGTGCACTGGTAGGCACTGATATGTGGCATTGATGAGGCACTGGCAGGTGGCATTGATGGGCAATGACAGCTGGCATTGATGGGCACTGCTGGGGCTACACTGATCATCAGGGCACACTGATCATCAGTGCCCTGATGATCAGTGTAGATGTCCCCTCCGAGGAATACCGATTACCGGCTCTCCTCTCGTGAGGAGAGAAATGCCGGTAACCGGCATTTCCCTATTTTACAGGTGATCAGCTGTGATTGAACACCGCTGATCACATGACCGAGCCGACATCGTTGGCTCTTTCCTTTGATTTGTGATCCGCTGTGTCCGAGGGAGACAGCGCACCACCGATCGCTGCGCGCTCCCGGAGCCGCATGCGTGGTTAGAGTAGGAAGACATCATATGACCTCCACCCAGAACGAGAGAACCGCCTTGCGCCCGTCATTACCTTATATGGCGGGCGGGAGGCGGTTAAACGTGTGCAAAAAATGGCTCTGGCAGCGAAAGTGATAAGTATAAGCCCTGACCCACCCTTTTTTTTTTTTTTTTTTTTTTTTTTCCTGTCCACGTGCATGAGGCCTAACTCCTTCTTTCATCTATAGAATGCAGTATGCTGATATGATGACTTAAATAACAAAAGAAAATGTGCTGTACTATAAACTAACCCGTGCCAAAATCCTAAATAATGCCCGTATCTGGGAAAAAACTATAAAGAGGTGCTGACAAACCAACGTAAATATGTAAAAGGTAAACACCCGGCAGAGCTTACCTCCAAAAGGCTATAAACACAATATCTGTGTAGGTGTATAGGTGATAATAAAAACACTGTAAAAAAACTGATTAAATATAAACAAATTAGGTATATCAGTGAAGTTAACCTCTGGCCAACCTAGTCTAGCTGTGCAGACAAATAACAATAAAATGCCAAGCATAAATAGACAATATAACCAAGTGATCAAATGAAAAATAAAAAGGTGATCACTACACCATACTTTTGGTGTTTGTGTGTATCTTACACTTCTTTTTTTTTTTTTTCTTTTCCCTGTTGAGAATTTCTTCGAGGAGATGCTCAGACTGTGTTTTGGAATGTTGGACTAACACAAAGACAGCGCTGTTCTAGTCAGGCGGTTGAAATTAGACTTGTATGAAGTTTTTCATTTTCCTCCTACCAGTTCTACCAATGGGCTTTAAGAGGTGGATGTTGTGAAAAAGATCTCTATGGGCATTTGGTTTTGAAGAAACTATTTACTTATTTCCTTTCTTGGCTATAAAATACGAGCTGTTAAACAATCATTTTATTTTTCTTTAAATTCTTTTTTTTTTTTTTTTTACACTGCTAAATGGTTTCTGTCAAGATGCATAAAAACCAACTGTTGTATTCTTAGCCAAAAAAAGACAGAATGGTTTAATGTTCTAAAGTACAATAATACTAAATATCATAAAATCATATGACTGTGCAGTGAATACGACAGGGCCAGTGTTCTGTGCTCATTGTTTGGATGCCCACCTAAGGGCGCCACGTAGGGGAACAATAGAAGTGGAGCATCACATGTACTCGGTGTATTCCATCACTACAGTCCACACTGATTTCAGTGTGACAAGGCACTACTGCACTTTGCAATGCTTTAAAATATTTTTTCTATGTGTTCCATATATGCTCCATACAGGGAGAGAAAGATCATAATGGTGGTTTTTAAAAGGACTAATGTGCCGCAACCACGAGCTAAGCATTTGGCTTGTGGTGTGTCCCAATTTGGTGAGTTTGGCAGGCCATATCGACTCAACATGCTGCAAGAAATTTGCCGTGACACAAACTGCTGTGGCATTTGTGAACATCCCCCTCCAGCTGCATAGTAGGCAGGTGGTCACCTGTTTTTGCCACCCCCCAGCTACCTGTTGGAAAGAGGCTTGATACTTATTACAATGCAAGTATGAATCAGCTGACTTATTGATTAACGGTTTTTACAAAAACAAATTACTTATTCCTTTAGATTTTCCTCCACATGTTTCTCTTCAAGTAAGCTGTTACTTTTTATGGCATTATTTGTATGTTGCTTTACTAATGGGATCAAGTTCTTGATGTACAGATTGTGCTCTTTGCTGGACCATTTAACTGGCAAGCTTGCTTATTTCTTTTATTTCTTTTCCTGTCATTTTTAACCTAATGAACTTCTGAGGTAGTTGCAGTTCTGAGTTCTTGCATGCATTATTGATCATTCAGCCATGCAGCTCTCACACATAAAATGTGCATATCAGCCATGGAAAGGCTCTGAAGCGGAGTTTTAAAGGAGTTTACTTTTAAGAATATGATATATTTTTATATATAAAATTAATTGCACTTGTTAGACACACAAAAAAATATATAATAATAAATATATTTATTTTTTTGTGTCTAACAAGTGCAATTAATTTTATATATGTATATGTGAAACTCGAAAAATTAGAATATCGTGCAAAAGGTTTTATTTCAGTAATGCAACTTAAATGGTGAAATTAATATGAGACTCATTACATGCAAAGCAAGATAGGTCAAGCCATGATTTGTCATAATTGTGATGATTATGGCTTACAGCTCAGGAAAACCCCAAATCCACAATCTCAGACAATTAGAATATTGTGAGAAGGTGCAATATTCTAGGCACAAAGTGTCCCACTCTAATCAGCTAATTAAGCCATAACACCTGCAAAGGGTTCCTGAGCCTTTAAAAATGGTCTCCCAGTCTGGTTCAGTAGGAATCAAAATCATGGGAAAGACTGCTGACCTGACAGTTGTGCTGAAAACCATCATTGACACACTCCATAAGGAGCAAAAGCCTCAAAAGGTAATTGCAAAAGAAGTTGGATGTTCCCAAAGTGCTGTATCAAAGCACATTAATAGAAAGTTGTGTGGAAGAAAAAGGTGCACAAGCAGCAGGGATGACCACAGCCTGAAGAGGATTGTCAGGAAAAGGCCATTCAAAAGTGTTTGGGGACTTTCACAAGGAGTGGACTGAGACTGGAGTCAGTGCATCAAGAACCACCACACAGACGGATCCTGGACATGGGCTTCAAATGTTGTATTCCTCTTGTCAAGCCGCTCCTGAACAACAAACAACGTCAGAAGCGTCTTACCTGGGCAAAAGAAAAAAAGAGACCTGGTCTGTTGCTCAGTGGTCCAAAGTTCTCTTTTCTGATGAGAGCAACTTTTGAATCTCATTTGGAAACCAAGGACCCAGAGTATGGAGGAGAAGAACGGAGAGGCACACACTGCAAGATGCTTGAAGTCCAGTGTGAAGTTTCCACAGTCTGTGCTGATTTGGGGAGCCATGTCATCTGCTGGTGTTGGTCCACTGTCCTTCATTAAGTCCAGGGTCAACGCAGCTGTCTACCAGGAGATTTTGGAGCACTTCATGCTTCCTTCCGCAGACAAGCTTTATGGGGATGCTGACTTCATTTTCCAGCAGGACTTGGCACCTGCCCACACTGCCGAAAGCACCAAAAACCTGGTTCAATGACTGTGGGATTACTGTGCTTCATTGGCCAGCAAACTCGCCTGACCTGAACCTCAGAGAGAAGCTATGGGGCATTGCCAAGAGAAAGATGAGACATGAGACTGAACAATGCAGAAGAGCTGAAGGCCGCTATTGAAGCATCCTGGTCTTCCATAACACCTCAGCAGTGCTACAGGCTGATAGCTTCCATGCCACGCCGCATTGAGGCAGTAATTGCTGAGTACATATGCATGCTTATACTTTTCAGAGGTCCGATTTATTTTTCTATGTACAATCTTTGTTTTATTGATTGCATGTAATATTCTAATTTTCTGAGATTGTGGATTTGGGGTTTTCATGAGCTGTAAGCCATAATCGTCACAATTATGACAAATCACGGCTTGAACTATCTTGCTTTGCATGTAATGAGTCTATCTCATATATTAGTTTCACCACTGTTGCATCACTGCAATAAATTAACTTTTGCACGATTTTGTAATTTTTCGGGTTTTGTGTGTGTGTGTGTGTGTGTGTGTGTGTGTGTGTGTGTGTGTGTGTGTGTGTGTGTGTGTATACAGTGGGGCAAAAAAGTATTTAGTCAGCCACCAATTGTGCAAGTTCTCCCACTTAAAAAGATGAGAGAGGCCTGTAATTGACATCATAGGTAGACCTCAACTATGAGAGACAAAATGAGAAAAAAAAATCTAGACAATCACATTGTATGTATATATGTGTGTGTATGTATGTATCGTGCAGCGGTGGGAACATGTTACATATTTCACCCTAGAAAAAAAAAATGGGTGGAAAATGTAACCTATATTCCCAAAGGTGAACTTTTTAAGGGCTCATTCACACGGCATCAGAGTGCTGCATACAGTTTTCATACAGCTTATAGTTTTGTATGCAGTAGTATAGAGCACCTGGGCCCATTCACATAGCTGCACTTAGCAACAAAATGTACTGCATTGAGAACTTAAAAAAATAAATAGAAAAACTGTGTTCCCGGTCCACATTTGGTTTGCATTTTTGTGTTGTACAAGTTAGGCAGTGAAGATTTTGTATGCAATTCCTGACCATTTAAAGGAGAATATGCTGCGTAATTGAAATTGTGCACAAAATTTAGAATTGTGTGCAAATTGTAGCATAGCCTGTAGTTAATCGAGAATGTTAAATGCTCTGTATTGTCCTAGTGATAGAATATACTGGTGTCCTAAGTAGTTTTTTAACCTGGTTAAAGGATAAGTTCACCTTTTTTAACAAAAAATAATACATGCAAATTTTTTTGCTGGTAAAAAATGTGCATGTATTTTTTTGTTTCTGGAGCCTAAAGCATTGCACCAGTGATCGGATCACTGGTGCAATGCAGGTCTCCTGCAGACCTGTCAGTGTATCTGTTTGCATGTACATCCTGTATGGGTAAGCAGATACTTACTGACAGGAAGGCTCAATGAACTACCATGGCACTGCACAGCACTTTTGGTAATTTGTTGAGAACTACAAATCGACATGAATGAGCTGCACGGCCTGGCAGGCGTAGCCCCGCCCGGCCACATTTTTAAAAATTGGGACAGCTAGCAAGGGGAGAAGATACACTGCTAGCTGTCACAACGGGGAGCAGGGGCAGCTCTGTTCATAACCCTGAATATGGATGTAACATGTTACAAAAGGTGAACTTCTCCTTTAACTGCTTCGCGACTGCCCTATAGCAGAAATACTGCTGCAGTGTGGCACGGTGCGTAAAATCACATGTATATATTTGCATTTCCAGGTAGGGGGCGCGCGCCCTACCAGTGCAGCCATTCGCAGCCACGGCTGTCGATC